CCTAATCATCGTAAATCATGGCAAAAATAACTTTTGAAAGAATGATAGAAAAGTACGTTATTATTTATTTTTTTGATCTAATTCCATTATATTTCATTAGGTAATTGACTGCTATTAAGTTCCTTTGCCACCTGTCCGTTTACATAGACTGCGCAATTTTGTTATTTCTCGGCGAAGAATTCTGTTTTGCACTGGTCTTTATTTACAAATATTTATTTCAAAGGAAAGATTTTTAAATATTTTTTGTTTCTAAAGTCGTTAAAAACAAATCTTTATTATTCAAAGCTTTAATTATATGCTATATAATAGTATTTATGTGTATAATTGAGCGGTGACAGATTTTTGGATTTATGTGATTACAATTCCTTCGTGCTTTCAGAGGGCGCATAAAACTCTTCAAGAAATATCTGAAACTTGCGTTCATATTGTATATGTATATATGTGTATACATATATTATATTAGATATCAGATGCCAGCGGCTTAAACTAACATTTGAGTACATCTGTTATATGATTGCTAGGTCGTATAAAGTTGCACTTAAGTATCAGTAGGTAAGTAGTAGTTCTACTTTGTATCTAGCGTGTATTTTTTAATAGTATGATAAAAATCATGTAGTCCGGTAGATATAGGAGGGTGATACGAGTGAGACGGCAACCGCAATAATCGTAACTCACGATACAACTACCAACTACGTCCAAAAGTGATGTTACATGTTTACTATTTATGTACCGCCGGCCAGTCGATTGATGGCGATATAAACTTGCAAATGTTTTTATGTAGGTCTCACATTTGGATTCAACCCATGGCTGCAGTTTCACACTTAATATCATGTGATTTAGTTTTACGACTCTTTTAGTGGGGTATCGTAAAGAGTTTTTTACATGTTGTAGGTGATTTGTTGGAACCTTTTTCGGTAACATACCTTTATATGTTTAAGACTAATAAATTGAAGCTAATGTAATTATAAAGTAGTTTGTTAAACATAGTAGTTTTGTAATGCTTCTTTGCTTGTATAGTTGTATGTGTAGTATCGTGTGTGGAGGTCTTTTGTATTTGAATATTATAATTTGGTTTGAAGGGTAGTATTTTTCTCCCCTTAGATAAACTAACCCTAATGGAATTGATAATAATAATAATTAAAAATATATAAGGTTACGATAATTTTAAGATTATGTTCTATAAAAAAAATTACATTAATTCTGGCAAAACCAGTTATTTTGATTTAAAAAGTCTACTGTTTAAAAAGTTTACTGAATCGATTTTGATTAATTTTTACCGTATCAATCTAAAAGTATATCGTTTCAGGTAAAAGAATTTTTCAAATCGGTTTACAACTGATGGAGTTATAACAAACATAAAGAAATATAACCGAAATGAGAACCTCCTTCTTTTCGAAATCGGTTGAAAAGAAAAGCTTGAACATATTGCAATACAATTGCAATATAGCCAAGCATTAACCACTATGTTTTACAAAGCGACTACGAGTATGTTTAGGTCGATCATAATATAATATGGTTCGTAAGTAATGTCAGCCATTGCTTAAAATTGTCTACCCCTAATAGCTTAGGACTGGGAACGTATAAGAAATATTATACAGCATTTGCAGCATTAGCAGGTGGTCGTAAATATTAACAAATGAATTACATTTTTGGTACGTCGATGGGTGAAGGAGGTCTATTGTAATTTTTCATAATCATATTTGAGGGAGCTCTATATTTTTAAACTATAATAACATACCGATTGTAAATGACGCTGACAAATAAATATTACAATAAAACAATCAATAAAAGGCGTTCGATTTCGTGCAAATTTTTTTTTTTATACAATTTAGAATGGCAAACAAGCTGATTGAAGAAACAAGCCTACCTGATGGAAAGTGGTAACCGTCGCCTATAGACATGAGCGGTATCATGAACATAACAGAGTATACTGTTTCGCCCATGATACCCCCTATGCGTTGCCATTCCTGAGGACTCAGGTGTTATTACTCTGTACCCAGTAAATTCACGCCATATGCCACCCTTCAAACCGAAACACAGCTATGCAAACACAACTGCTTCATGGTTGAAACACGAATGGGACAGAGGTACCCAAGCAATCGACTTTTGTACAAAGTCTCCCTCTGGTAAATAATTTCTAATCAAATCAAAACTTCAATGTACGAGTACGGTTTTGAAATTATTATAAGTTTTTACGTGTTTCTGACATCCTTATAAGTGACTTTTTTGCAATAACGTATATAAAGTACGCACTGTGTGTGTATTATGAGTATGTTCGCTTTGTACTAAACATGAGTAGTACCTACACGATTTGTACTTAAAGCATTTATATCGATGATTGATAGCCTCAAATTGATTTTTCTTCCGTTACCTTACGTGTGTAACGAACTGTAGGACGGTGATATTTATGGGCTTACTTTTTTATTTTTTCTCCGCTAACCAGTCTTTTATTTAATATTTACCGATATTCTTTATACTACTCTGAATAGCAGATAAAAGGAACATAATTTGTAATAACAGTATATATGCTGTCCTCGTACGTTGCCACTCCTGAGATCTAGGCTTAATTATATCTGTAGTATTTTTTTTTATTTATTTCAGGTAAACAGTTGTATAGATAGTAATATATACTTAGTGCTGCGAAACTGCATTGCAATTTATATTAATGGTTATTAACGCAAATACCTACATGATAGTTGTGTTTTAGCAAGGATTTATGCATTATTGCTAAGGCGTAACAATGTATCTATGAGGGATATCATGGGCGGTACAGCATATTTTACATGATATCTATGGTGTTGTTGATAAGCTGATATAAGTAAGAAAATACATTATTAGCAAAAATTGTAACGGGGTTAGAGCATAAACATAAAACATTCCAAATTCTGAAATGTCATAAATACAAAAAAACACACACTTAGTTAAGTAAAATAAAATTAGACTACATCATCATTATCATCATCACATCAGTCTTTAACTGTCCACTGCTGAACATAAACCTCTCCATTGGGGGTTTTGCTAGTAGTTGCCACGCTTGGCAGGCGGATTGGCAATCGCAATAGGGCTTTAGAGATGTTTTAAGAGGGATGCTGATCCCCATCCCTTATCCTCCCTTAGTCGCCTTTTACGACACCCACAGGAAAAGAAGGAGCGGCCTATTCTATGGCGGCCTATATTCTATACATATAAAATTAGACTACATCCTAAAATTTAGACATAGATTCGAAATTTCTCTTTAAATTGCATATAAATTACGTAGTGATTTGGGGCAAAATTCCAATAATGGTGTTCTTGATTATATTTACAAAGTGTGGATAGTGTATGCGTGGCTAGAATACAAACACAAGCTAACCAAGCGGTAACAACGATGAGTGCAGTTTTGGTGGTACAAACTGCGAAAAAACTACTATTTGCGAAAGTATTTTAACTCGTTTAAATATATGAACTAATTAATGTACGCCTTCTTCATATATCTTTTTAATCGACTTAAAAAAAGAGCGAGGTTTACAATTCCATTGCACTTTTTTATGTTTGTTATTTTATAACTTCGTCATTTACAAACTTATTGGAATTTATTTTCTATCTGAAAAGGTATACTTTCAGATTGGTCCCATAGAAATTTTGTTAAAATCGGTTTAGTTTTTAAACAAAAATAACTGGTTTTGCTATGATTAAAATAGATTTTTTTGTTGAACATATTTTTAAATTGTGCAACATCTATTTTCATATTAAAGTTACGTCTAATATGTGCATGTATAACTACATATGTTCTCATGGGTAATCAAGGAACTTTCCTTTATTTAAAATCTGTTGAACAATTGAAGTGTCACATGTAAATAATTTGCTAGGTAAGTAATTTTTGTTTATTTAGAATGTCAACATAATCAATGCGCGTACTTATAATGTACAAGTAGGTGTAGGAAATATACTGCGAAGATAAGGTGTGATAACTCGTGTGATTAATAATGTAATTATGAATATTCACATATATTAATAATTATGAATATAATACAATATTATATAAATAGCTATTGCCTGCTCTTTTGCACATGTAATATTAATATCTTCTTTAAGTAGAAATTTAAAAATAATCTTTCATAGTGGATATAATACCTTATAAAGTAGACCTTTAGGCTCTGTATTTATAGTCAGTCAGTACAAATGATTTTATAAAAGTAAAAGTCAAGGAAGGAAAATAAAATTTGTAGAGATAATAATTGTTTTGATAAAATTGTTATTGAAAGTCATGACTTTACTTTTAAAGAATTCACAACTGATATCGGTTTTGTATTACTCACCCATATTTTATCTGTTATTAAAAGAAACCATTTCCAAGTACGGATTAGGGTATAGTTAAAAAATGAACTGTTTTATATGAGAAAAATAAAACACCTATTACAATCAAGAGCCCTTGATCACCGCTAGTCTTATGAAATTTGCACCAACCACTATACAACACATCTGGCGTACGTAATCTTGTTATGAGGAAAAAGTTTCTTAATAAGAACGCTATTTGGTTTCCAGTTTTTCCACGGGAGATATTTTTGTTACACAAAAGTATAAAATAATTACCGCTTGTGCGTTGTGATTTTTGTACTGAAAGTGTTTGGTAATTTAGAACATTAGTGAGGACGGACCTTCGCAACTGCAAATGAGTATAATTTAAGGGGTTCAAAATTCCAAATGAAGGAGCGTTGTAATAATATAAAACCAACAATGCTAACCAACATTTGTAGACACTATTTATGTTGTGTCAATTCGCAATGTGTTGTATTATGTATGTATTATCTATGCGTTACATTATATGAAAATACTAAATAACTGGTTGTAAAATATCATTGGATTTTCTTATCGTCTCTAAACTTATTCAAATAAATAAAGACTATTGTGGATTGGATTATGTATGTAACAATATCAGCTGTAGTGTCGTGTCTATTCTTCTTGGTTGAAATTTTCTATTTGGGTAATAGAATCTTAAAAAATATCAATAAAAATGCTAGTCTGGTAGTATTAAGTTTATTAGAACAAAATGTATTTTTATTTCAATTTGTGTATATTACATAGCAATACTGAGAATAGAAAAGAGGTAAACAATATATAAAACCAGTACAATATATAATTAATACTTTATTAAAAAAAAGGTAATAAAAAGTAATCATATGCACGGAATTATTTCCGATTAGATGTTAATATTGATAAAAATAACCGTTTCAATATAATAAAAAATTTAAAAAAAGAACAGATCTTGATATTTTATGAAACAGCAATATCTGGACGTGAACTGATTTTGTCTTGGTATTTGCTCTATCACAGCATAAAGATCTTGTGAATATCAGTTATATTACCGCAACATGTGTGGTGGTACGCCATGAGTTGGCGGATGATGAGGATGGTGATGAGGTGGTGGTGGGTGGTGGAAAGGTGGCGGTGGGTGGTGATGTGGTGGCGGCAGGTAGTGGTGCTGCGGCGGTGGGTGGTGTGGTGGCGGCGGGTGTACCACTACACGAGCACGGTAGTAGCAGTGGGGAGCGCAGAAACCAGTACCACAATGTGGCCCGCAGGGCATTGCGTGTGGAGGCGGCATTTCTAAAATTAAAAGTTTACGCATCAATAGATGATAAGTCAAGATTTGATACAAAAGAATAAATGGCTATTCTACTATTAATTTTAATCCTGTTAAAATGTTATAAATGTGAAGATGTTTGTATGTTTACATGATTTGGATGTTAGTTACTCAATCACATTTTAATAGTTGACCGGAATCCTGATTAATTATGAACACGCAGCTTAAATTATTAAGTCTAGACAGCTGACATTTGGAACATAAGTTTATTTAAAACATAAGCATTCACTAAGACAGAATTATTGAAAATTTCAATGGTCACGAGCAACAGCTAGTTTGAAATAAAAATGGACTATGTAGTAAATTAAAAGTAGGGTATTTTCATCATAATTCACGCGGCCAAAGCTAGGGGAAACAGTTATTTATATATATTTTTTAAATAACTAAACAAATTACTAGACTATTATGATTTTGTAAAACTTAACGTAATAATATGTTCGCGATTGCTAAGTAGGTAAGTATCTATATCGAAGACAAACAAAATATCACAATGTGTTTACAGATAATTAATAAGTTGGGAGTAAAATATTATTAGTACTTACTTATTATTTAAATAAAAAAGGAACTCACTTTTATGCTTATATTTAATGCACAGGTAATACAAATAGGAAGGTCGTGTTAAATTCTGGCTGTATTCACTGTGAATGATAAATATAAAATCTATTTTCTATATTGATTTCTTTATCTCCTATCAACTGGTATCAGATAATTTCTTGAAAAAGATATAGATAAGCGTTCCACGTAGTCGAAGCGGAATAGGCGTTTAGTTTGTATAAATATAAACCTATGAATAATTTTAGCCAATTGTTATTATGAATAGTTATTTTCATTTCGACTTGTATGATTTCAACATATTTTCCACAAAGAGTTTAAATACTATGATAACGTTTCCGGCACCAATTATCAGTAATGGTAGTGGAGTCACACCATGGAAATTTCGACAATTAGAATTAATTTAATCTCGAAATAAAACTTGACTAAAAATTTGATTCGATTATGCTAAAATAAACTATTGAAGTGTACTGAAATCCTATTTAAAGTTTATATGATATATTATTAGTCGTATTATTATATCAATGACATTATATAATGTTATTATACAAAAATGAGGAATACGAACAGTTACGACTTAATAAGTAATTTATATAAGTATGTAAGTATTCTGTATTTTTTGTTTACGTAAAAAATATACTACAACATAAACACCATACACATTATTTACCTATTTTATGTCCTTTTAGCTATAAACTGCTCAAAAGATATTTGTATTTTTTTTTTCTTATAATATGCTTCTCTAATTATATGTGTTCGTCTAAAAATATAAGAAGACAATATTTTTTTTATGCAACTTAGAATGGCAAACAAGCTGACGGCCCATCTAATGGAACGTGGTAAGCGTCGTCTATAGACATGAGCAGTACCATAGACATAATAGAGTATACTGTTTCCATACTGTTACCATTCCTGAGGTTCAGGTGTACTTGCTCTGTACCCTGTAAATTTTAAAATAATGAATAAATTTGTAAATAATAAAACACGCAATGCCAAATGGTACTTGAATTAATACAATCAAAAATGTAGTGATATCGAATTAATTTAAAACCATTAAACTAATGAAAGGTTAGCAGGCTAAATAATTGGGACATAAATCGATAAAATACGAACAGAGATAGCTAGAACAATAATTTATCTTTGTTTGATAAAATATTATGGAATGTGTCTTTTTTTTTTTTTTTTTTACAACACAGGGGGCAAACGAGCATGCGGCTCACCTGATGGTAAGTGACTACCGCCGCCCATGATCACCCACGACACCAGCGGCATTGCAGGTGTGCTGCCGGCTTTAAAATCTATTTCTGAATAACAAGGAAAATAGATATTAATTTTGAAAACGCTCTTCACGAGTTTCTGAATACAGTGTTAAAATGTAAAACAAAATTATTTAATAGTTTTAACATAAAGAGATTGTAATTTACACAATTGTTCTGTAATAAGATATTCTAATATTTTGAAAATATACATTATTCTTACTACCATACTTGTAATAGTAAAGTTTGTTTGTATTTGACTTCACTAGTCAGTAGTAAAAGAAAAAAAGTTGATAAGTTGACATGGGATAAATATTTTATAGGGTTCGTTCACGTGTTACATTTCTTTTACAAAAAAGATAAAACACTTTATATTTAAACTAAAGCTGAACTTAAAACATCACCTTCATAACTTATCAAATTATTCCCAATATCATTTACAATGGTAGAAATCCCTAAAAACTTGACATAACCTAACAAATTGAAATTTTGATTTTAGATTTATGACTTTATTTTTAATCTATCTATCTACAGAATAACAGAATTTCTATACAAATTTTTATTCTCCATTTTACACATTTAGGGGTTAAATCTCCAAAAACATTGAGAAATATTTTATTTATTTCTAATTATAAGAATTTCGTACTTACAACTTCAATTATAACATAATTCTCATACAAAATTTCATCTCCTATAGAGATATATATAAAGGTAAATTCTTCAAAAGTCATTAAATATATAAATAAGCAATAAAGTTTCAATAAGAACATACTATACAAATAGTGAATTACTAATTTTTATCTCTGTTATGTAAATACTTTTTTTTTTGTACTTATAATTAAAAAGTTAGGTTGTGTACACGTATTTAGCATAGAATCTATAGTATATATTATATACTGTTCTCTATATTATAGAATATAATAAAAAAACAATATAATAGAATAATAACTGTGCATGGTCACGTAAAACGGCAATCAGTTAAAAGTTGTTCACAGTTTTTCAACGCCCGTTTGTTTTGAAAATTTCTCAAAGCGGAAAATGCTATTTACTTATTGCGCTTCGTTTACTTACAAGGTATTTAGGTTTGTGTCGTCTGTTCCCTGTTTTGTATTTGGAAAATGGAATTTTCCTGTCTCGATAGACGAGAACTCTCAATCGATTTCGAAAAGGATGTCTCAATAGCTGTTTTATTTTTGTTTAACTTTGCTTTGTTTTCTGTTACCTAATTTGATGGTTCGTTAATTCTAATTTATTTAAAACAAGATTTGAAATGTTCAAGATTTAAGCAATAATGATTTATAAACTAAATTTTTTTTATACAACTTAGAACGGTAAACAAGCTGACGGGCCACCTGATAGTGGTAACCGTCGCCTATAGACATGAGCAGTACCATGGACATAACAACCACAACACATAACACACCCTTCAAACCGAAACACAGCCATGCAAATACAACTGCTTCACGGTTGAAATACGAATGGGACAGAGGTACCCAAGCAATCGACTTTTGTACGAAGTCTCTTTTTGGTAATATATGTATTTTATTCTCTTCACACAAAAATTTTCTACAAGAGTTGCTACAAGAGTTAAATTTGGGCCCAAATTCTTTTACATAACGACTGTGACAAAACTTGTCAGAGTACTTAGCAATTTCACTCACTTTCTGAATCGAACCACCTGGAAATGAGATAAAAAAAAAGACAGCACAGTATTCAATTTAAAAATTACTTAATATAATATATATAGTACTCGTAGAGCATCTAAAATCTTCCAATAATGCTTAAGGTAGATAACTTAAGGTAGAAAGTACAGTTTCTGTCTCCATTCCACAGCAAGCATGCTCCAGCATCTACACTGAATTAAATGATAAAAGATTGTAATAATTTTATTCCTCTACGTATCTCATTTTGAGATTGGACAAGGAAAAAATTGCTACTATTCATTGCCAATTAGTGAAATTATTTTTACTCGCAATGATATCACTAGTGACAAATCATAAAATAGTGCTACTATTTGCTATGTAATATGAATTATCATAAGAGTGAGCGAATAGAGACTTAAAAGCAATGTTATAGTCTGTATTCGCTTGCTTTGTGCAGTCCAGTCGGTCGTCTGTTGCGATTTCACTTCGCTGGTATCAAGCACAGCCGATGATTCACGAATAAACCCGATCACAGCGACTATCTGCGATTTCATGTTACAGTGATTTGTAGCACTTTTTGTGAGCTCGTAGCTAGAGTGACGTATTATTTGGTGGTACGTATTATTCGAAAATAGTCAAAGATTATATACAGTTATTTATATCTATAGTAAATGATGGTTACCACTTTATCGACAAATTGACTGTCAGCTTATTTGCAGTACAAAAATAAGTAAATAGTGACAGTATCAGTGTATTACTATATATACTTTAAAAGAATGTAACATACACGGGGCCATTATTAGAAGATAGTATACTGAAACGCTCACCAATTCCCTGCATAAGATATGGTGAGTGGAACTGACTTCTGGCTTCCTGTGTCCAGAATTTGGCGTCCAGCTTCAGGTGTACATATAATATGGTCTAGATGAAATTATGGATAAATGTAATCTAAAAAGAGTATATAAAGAAGATATTATTACGGAAATGAAAAATGAACAATATGGTAACCAATTATTCAGTAAACTGAATCTAGAAACATGTAATTATTATTTTACAAAATATAGGTACGACATCCAAATTGTCTTTCCACTTGATTAATTTGCCCTCGATTTGTTTATTTTTGTTACATGTATCTATATAAAGGATTTGGATCATTTCTGATTCTCGATTTAAATATATAATATAAATAATGAAATAGGGTTGAGTTACTTTTAGTACCATTTTGGGTCACATATTCAGCTAATTTTATTTTAATGGTTGAGAGGCATGTTCAATAGTAGTAATGAGTGACTAAAATGATGAGAATGGCTCATAAAGAGCTGTGAGTATTACTCGCGCGGTTCCGTAAAAATATTAATTAAAAAATAAATATTGTGCAAAAAGTTGTTTTTTTTTTATGTTTAAGGATTTTTCCTTTACTTCTTGCCAAATTTTATGATTCTAGGTTAATGGGAAGTGCCTTATATAGTTTGTGGTTCCTTTGTAAATATAAAATAAATGCTACATCTACAAATAAACAGTTACATCTTTTGATTGCGTTGACTTAGAAGTTTGGTTTTTAGAGCTTAGAGATTATAGACTTGAATATTTGATATTAATTTCAGCTTGCTGAACCTAGTATACACTACTAACTGTTATTTTTGAACAATAGTTATGTTTGTAAAATATGCTGGTTCTTGTTGTATATAGGTGTTATTTATTAATTATATTATATTAATTGTAAATAAAATTGCCGTCTGTTGACTTGATGTGCTGTATATATATTTTGTTTTATTTCAATTGTTTATCAATTACCTTTTATATAAAAAAACTAGAGCTGTCAATGTATATAAAAAGGTTAATTTTAAACAATTTCAATATCCTTCCTAGACTACAGCTAGACAATAAATTATTAGTTTCATTAAATTATCTTCAGTAACAGGCATTGCCGTTACTAATATATGTTATATTTTGGCATTTATTTAGATTTAGGTATAAGAGGAGCAGCAAATAAATTTAAGGTCCTAATGGGTCTGAAACTGGACGATGAGCGTTAACCGTGATCTATAACCACGAATAGAACCATGTATATAATATCACGGAATATACTACATTTTACTACATTTAGTATATTATTGATAGATGAAGATTTGTTTATTATATTTCCATCTCAGTTGGGATCTAAATATTGATAGTAATATCAAAATGTTAAGATACTAAATTGAAATTCAATATATTTAATGTGTTTAGAGAACTGCTTATGGTACAGTAAAATAAATTTTATTTTACTTAGATATTACTCAAATAAAGCAAAAAGCTGACGTAGAAAGTAAACATTTGAATACACAGGGCACTCGACGAGTCCAAACCAAATATTAGGAAAGTCTAATTAAAAGTTCATGGTAAAAGCTATCATTTATTTAGGTACCTGCCGCATAGCAAATACAAATGCGACGAAGGAAATGCATATGATGGGTTGTGTCGTTTATGATTAGTAGTATAGAACCTTAGATAAATATACAATAAAGTTCTCTATTAATTACCCTGTGATACCAATGGAACTTGTGGGTTTTATTTAATTTAATATGGTAATACTAGATATTATAAAATAATTAATCAATTTAAAAAAGAAGTAGCTTCTCAATTCTGCTGTATTTTTTATGTTTATACCTCATAACTCAGTTCTAAACCGATTTGGAAAATTCTTTTTATATCTGAAAGAATATACTTACAGATTGGCCACATAAAAATTTTATTAAAATCGGTGTACTAGTTTCATTTTTAGGCCAAAATAATTAGTTTTGTCATAGGTAATTGAAATCGGTTCTGTTTTGAGCCACAATATTTAATTATTTGCATTCACACTACGTTTCATATAAACAAATAATTCATAAAATAATAATAAACAACGAGTATTAATTTCAATTTGACAGACCACAAAACCACCACTGCAGTATTTAATTTTTAAAATAAGACTTTATCGTCTCTTGAATCAACAATGTAGACTTATATAAAAATATTTTACTACTCTACGTGGAAATGAGAATGCTGAAGGTGGATGTAGTTCACGATACTAAATATGACGTCATATCCTGCAAATAAACTTTAAGTGTAACACAGACGATCCTCACTGGAATAACGTAATGTGAAAGTCTTGTTTAACGAAATGACAGATTGATTTGAAATGGGATCTAAGTATGTACAAACTGTCTGCTTTATTTGGATAGGTACTTAAACCTCTGTTTCATTGTGAGATATAATATGTCATAATATGTATCGAATAGAAAATCGATAGTCATGTAGTTAGGCCACAGAATGGGCCACTCCTTCCTTTCCCACGCGTCAAGCGCATATATACGCAAGCATATTTCTGACTTCTTGGTGCATTGACGGATTAATCGGTCGTCATGAAATTGGATATATATATATATATATATATATATATATATATATATATATATATATATATATATATATATATATATTCATGTCCATAACAAAGGCACACATGGCAAACATAACACCTAAAGGCGTTCACTACCAGTCAACCATGGGCCAAACAGAGATATTTCTAATATCTTGATTATACAGATGATATCACGTATAGTGAAAAGCAAGCTTTATCCTTTTAGACTGAAGGGTTTGTTTTCGTGGTTTTTTTTTTTGTGAAACGGACTCAAGATTATTTTACGGATTGTTGCTTTTGAACATCTTGGGTTTATATCTCTTTTTGTTGGATTTCTTCATTTTATAGTTCCACTATATTCTTTTATAATCCCGAACCAAATCTTGGCAAACAATTCCATTAAGTTTATTTATATATTGAAATGATCGTTTCTTTGTCTATTATGAAACAGATTTTATATTGTAATAACGATATATTTAGGTACTAAATAGTAGAGGAGAGTATTAATTCTGTACAATAAATATAATCATCATCGTCATCAACATCACGTCAGTCTTTAATTGTCCACTGCTGAACATAAGTCTAAATATAATAGTTACGTATATTTATAAAATCAATAAGCATAATGTTTATCAATATTTTATAATTGTTAACATACAATATTATACCAATAAATAATAATTTTGATTAATATAATCGAGTATATTGACATCAGTTATTTCTATGTGGAAATAAAATGATAGAATATTAATATAATATTTCATTCGGTAATAAATATTTAATTATGGGTATTTATATTTTTTTCATAAAATTATTGTTTTATTTTGTTATAGATACAAATGTTGTATTACAACAACCAAATAAGGAAAAAAAAAACAAGTATTTTTAATTACATAAACATTTAGAATGTAAATATATTATGTAGGTGTGGTGTGAATTTCAACGAAGTTCGCTACATAATTGTTCACCGCGTACACTGTTCCAGTGAAGTTTGCGTAGTCGGCACTGCTGGGGTTATATCGGCGATGGAAATAGTACAGAGATAGTTAATTGGAAGTACAGTATGAGGAAAATATCTAAATTATAATTATTACAAATCTAGAAGCTTCGATCCAATTCTCATTAATATTACAAATGTATAAATGAGCTTGGTGCTTCAAGTTTAATCAATTATTATATTTTATATACATGTATTATATACATGTATTGTAGGAACATGTGCAACTTTTGATTCCGCTTAATTAATAATCGCAGTCACCCGGATAAAGTAATTAAGTAAACGCAGGTAATTACTAGCAAATAATTATTGTGTAAAAATAATAATTAATAACTCACCCTTTGTTACGTTGTATTAAAATATGTTCACTGAAATGTTATGTCATGTCGAGTTATATATTTACTACCATGGTATTAGTCGATGTATACCTCTGACTACCCCGTCATGGATTATAGTCGTGAGAAATATAAAATAATTTATTTTATTAGCAAATCTAATAGGTTAATAAATTTTGTTTGAGACAATTTCTACCATGGTAATGGTCATGTCGTCTTTTTAAACAGTGTATGTTTGGTTTTCTAGTCGAGAAAAGTTCTTCATTTTCTCCACAGTAAAAGCACAGTGTAAGGAGTAGTTATTTATACTGTGGTAAGAGAAAAATGTTGTCATGTGGTTTCGGCATAGAATAGGCCACTCTTTATTTTCTCGTGACTTACGTAAGAGGCGACTAAAGGAAGTTAATGGTCGAGTGATGGGCAGCAGCGTCCCTCTTAAAACATCACCAAAAACCTATCTGCGGTTACCAACCCGCCTGCCAAGCATAGCAACTACTGAGAATACCCCTTTTATGGAGAAGGCTTACGTTCAATAGTGAACAGATAACAGCTGATACGATCAAGAATAAGAATATTACAATTAAAGTAAATCGCAATTTAAACACGACTGAATGTCGTGAACACAAGTGGTTATAGCCTATTTTTCAATTTATTCAATGTCTTAGACATGTGCTCATGAGCAAATACATAGATAGGTATATTTATAGCCATTAGGAATGAAAACACATTAAGTGTAGAATGAGCATCACAGTATATTCTTTCCATGGAGGTGTGGCCTATAGACGATGGTGTCCACTAGGTGAGCAGTCAGTTCATTTTTCATTCTAAGTGGTTATTAATTTTAACGCATAACATAAAAAATAAATGAAAGCACAAAATGTGTGACCTCATGTATTTTCAAATTGTAAATATTAATTTTGTACATTGCTATATTAATACGGCACAACATGTGGGTGAGCTCTAATATCCGACCGCAGTTCATTCATCAGGAACCAGTGTACCGTAAAAAAGAGCTGAATGTACTGCTCCAGTTGAATAACCACCGCCAATGAAAACATCTCGATTGAAATGTTTATTCAAACACAATGGAATATATGGATTGAACGATATAAAGACATATGGAAATTTAGAAAAAAAAATGGATTAGGTTAACGTATTTCGATTACGTTTAGTGCTCTTTACAAATTGTTATCGATTTTCTTTATTAATTTTTCTTTTTTAAGCTACATTAGCGTTAAACCTGGATTTAGATACAAATCAATACTCTTATTTTTCTTACTCACAACATTTTACTTTAATTATAAATACTTAGTTTCTAGTTCCGAGCGAAATTCGTAAAAGATTTAAATGTCGTTTTAGTCAGTCCTAAAATAGAAATAAGGAACATGGTTAGTGTACTATTTCACCCCCAGTTTCATTGCTTTAGGATGCGATTTTCCAAATATGCTGTAACACTTTTTTTAATATAAAATTGTATATTTTAAAGCTAAACCTCTTTTTCACCTTTTTAGAAGATGATTTTTCCGAAATTATCACTTTTATTTATCAATTATAAAAGATAGAAAAAATATTTTCCAAATCAGTAAGTCAAGACACCTATTTTTATGTACTGTATGTAGTTTCTAGTGTATATTTCTATGACGCTATGTAGATATGTAAGCGATAGTGTAGATCAGAGATGATAATTCATTTATAAAATCTAAAGGTAAAATAAATAAAAACTTAGTAGCATGTTTTTAATGTAATGCACAATATCTTTTGAATAATGTTTTAGTATAAAATGCGGAAAAATAAAAGTTGTAACGCATGTCTTTTGGAATGGAGATATTTTCACACTATAATGTGATCCCACGGTTCACTCTGCGGCTCCCCTGAGACTCTACATCTAAGTTAGGTTTAAGTTAGAGCTGGCTTTGTTACGCTCTATGTGTCTCCTGTGACACATCTGACGACGATTTTTGGACAAATCTTGTTTCTTTCTAAATAATTCCCGTCTTGAGCTTGGAAATTGAATAAAATATTTTCATTGAGAATGTTTTAGACATTTGAAAACATTTCAGCTTGATACAGAGGAGAAAAATATATTAAATGGTTTTTATTTCATTTATAGGTATTATTTCGTTTTAAGTAATGTATTCAGTAGAATAATATAACGTTAACACTATAAGAAGACCACATATTACAAAATGCAGTAGTGACTTGACAGCTCAAGACAATTCCGTAAACTCTTGCGATATTCAATAGAGAGAGTACAATGTCAACTTGAAAATATTTTATGCCGGTGCCAGGCTCGACGTATCACGTAGCTCTGCCTCTTGAAAATGCAGAAAATAAAACACCAAACAAGGAATACGAAAGTCTACTGCAATCGTAAAGTAGCTGCCCGGCAACGTATGTAAATAGAAAATTTAAATTTTGAATTGATTCGTACGAAAAAGCGCAATATCTGAAATAAACCTTTTCCATTAGTCGCGAATCGCGGAAAACACTATGGCACCGTCAATTTGCTTTATTAATTAGTCAGTCTTGCGCCAAAACTAATTGCAATTAAATATTCAAATTTGGAAGTGCAGACCCGTGTAGCTGCATCGAGGTAGCTCTCGTGCTGTCAGGAGTTGCATTCGGCTTGTCGACGAAATGAACATGTCTGGGTCGTGGTATTTCAGGAATAGCATCGAACGGGACAGGTCAAACGGAAATAAAGCAAGCTGCACTCAGCGAAGTTTGGACATGTCTGATAGCTTTAGTGGCGGCTCGTGAATAAAATATATCCTATTTTTGTTTGCCTTTTTCATTCCGCATCGAGCACTATTGCAATTGTCATTTATGAAAATAATAAATAAGTACTGAATTTTTAATACATTGGCAAAAATTGAAACTTAAGTTTACTGATTGAGAGATAAATACAATAATATATATGTAATGTAAGAAAGACTCTGTTTTCCGCACTTAGCCTCTCATTTGGGCCGTTGTGCGTGTGAGTCGTGGCTAGTACAGCCAACCTAGCTCCGCAATAATATATATAATATTTGTATAATTTTTCCAGGTATTACCAGGATGAGCAAATTTACTTCTAATAAAAAAAAGTTTTTTATAGGGTAAGTCTATGTCAATTAATGACTATAATGGCGATGACCGTGACAATTTCCTTTGCTACAGTTTAATGTTCATTAATTAACGTAAGTAACGTACTTCTTCTTATAGTGCCATTTCCTACCGGAGGTTGGCGATCATCGTAGCTATTTTTATTTTGTTCACTGTCATTCTGAAAAGGGTCTGGTGCACATTCCGAACCACTGCCTTAGATTTTTTAACCAGGAGGTTCGGCGTCTTCCCGGTCTTCGGCTTTATATATATATATATATATATATATATATGTATTTATTTATACTTCCTTGCAAGATCTTGAGATTTGTAAGAAAAATATATAATGAAACTCTACGACTTTACTATGTTCCAATAAAACGAATGAATTTGCATCAGGAATCGTAGTCGAGACACTCTGCAAATCGACAATCGTAAAACTGTCCTCCACCGGTCACCGGATTCATAAATAAACAGATGGCCAAGACCTTTGCCGAGAAAAACTAGTAGTATGAGGGTGACTCGTTAAAATATTAAAGCTTCCGTACGTATTTGAAGTTTTTTATGTTGTACAGTATTACGTTTAAGTTTAATTTGTATACGGAGCCGAAACACTGGATTTACAGGCACTGAATTTCTATCGGTCCTATACCTCTGTTAACATAAAAATTTAAGTGAATGTCACCATTCAGACCGGTAAGAGAAATAAATAATGATTGCGATGGTCTACTGAAATATTAGATAAATAAGTTTACATATAAAAAGTTTATTAGGTAAGTAATATAATATAACTATGTAAATGAACAGGTATAACGAATTTAAAGATATTTCCGAACAAGTCTGCTTGTTCACTGCAAAAAAACGCCGTTTGTTGTATCTCCTTACTTTCAAAGCCCTTCTCTTGATAAAAAGTTGAGTCTAGGAGTTCTGGGCGTTGATATATCTAACGACATCCAGTTTTACAGTCAGAGAAAAAATCAGAGGAAAAAGCTAAGATAGCTTCCAAAAAGTTAGGTGTGCTCAATAGAATGAGACGGTATTTAATGCCGGAACACCGCCTGAAATTGTATAAAGTTCAAGTCAGGCTGCAAATGGAATACTGTTCTCACCTATGGGCAGGAGCGCCACAGTACCAGCTCCTTCTGTTAGACCGCATTCAAAGTCGGGCTGCTCGAATTATTGATAGTCAACGCCTTACTGTCCAACTCGACCCACTGAAACTGTGCAGAGATGTTACATCTATGTGCATCTTCTACCGAATTTAACATGGGGAGTGTTCTGAGGAATTGTTCGGAATGATACCTGTTGTTGATTTTCACCACCGTACGCCCCGCCATAAACTAAAGTTTTATCCCAACCATCTGGACGAGTAGCGATCTTTTACCGTGCGTTTTTCAAGGCACTTTCTTCCACGCACAACCACTCTTTGGAATCAACTACCAGCAGTAGTATTTCTGAACCGATACGACATCATAATTTTCAAAAAAAGAGCATATTCTTTTTTAAAAGACCGGTAGCATACCTGTAATGCCGTTGGTATTGTGAGTGATCATGGGGGGCGGTAATCACTTACCATCAGGTGAGCCGCATACTCGTTTGCCCTATGTGTTGTAAAAAAAATACGTGGTTTTTTAATTCCTTGTGGAAATCATACAAAAAGCACGCGAAGAAAATTTTCTATTTGTATAGCGGGTTACTCCTGATGGAACTGTTTGGAATATGCAATTTGCAATATACAAAAGAAGGAACTTCGAAAAAAAAAAAATTTTACATATTCAATAGCTAAATAGATTTGAATATTAAACCACTTTTAAAATTTTATCACGCTTTTATGTCAGATGAAAATTTGTAAGAATGTTGCAACTGATAATAATGTTGAACGAATAATATTTTTAATGTATAATAAAAATAAATAAATAAAATAAATATGAGGAACAATTAATTCTTGATAATGTAACAATTACCTACATTTTACACATACTAATAGTTAATATAATTATATTAGGTACGTATTAGGTCACCTCTTCATGTGTTGTAAGCGACTAAGGGAAGTTAATGGTCGAGAGATTGACAGAAGCGTTCCTCTTAAAAAATCGCCAAAGTCTAACTGCAGTTGCCAACCTGCCTGTCGAGTGTGGCAACTGCGATGGCTAATATGATGATAATGATATTAACACTAATGTGACATTGATACCCATTATTTTAAAATTCTAGCTGCGCTTTTTTTCTAGCAATTTATGTATTTGTATCAAATTTTAAATACATATTAGCTTGTATAATGTAGGCTTGTTTTATATTTAGAATTCTTTATTAATGTCCTATTTACGATTTACTCTCATTGTATCTAATCGAATAGTTTATATAACTTGTGAAACTTAACTTTTGTTTGAAAAAAGCAACAGTGGAACTTCTCATCTACTCTTTTCAGCTGAAATTGAATTTTGAATTAGGCGGTAGAATCTTAAAAAGTTGTTTATAGTTAAGTTTATTTAAAAAAAAATTAGATCAAAATGTATAACTTTTTTTTTATACAACTTAGAATGGCAAACAAGCTGACGGTCCACCTGATGGAAAATGGTAACCGTCGCCTATAGACATGAGCATAACATGATCATGGACATAATAGAGTATACTGTTTCGCCCATGATACCCCCCATGCGTTGCCATTCCTGAGGACTCAGGTGTTATTCCTCTGTTCCCTATAAATTCATGCCATATCCCACCCTTCAAACTGAAACACAGCCATGAAAACACAACTGCTTTATTGTTTATATGTTAAAACACGAATAGGACAGAGGTACCTAAGCAAACGACTTTTGTACAAAGTCTCCTTCTGGTGATAGTATATTAAAAAAAAAACATACATAATGTTAAAATTTGCAAAGAATAACAACTTCTTACAGGTTATTCTTGGCACATAACGACATAATGTTGTATGTATATTTTCCAAAATATTTCTCACAAACCTTAAGGTAATATAAGGTAAGGTAGAAAGACCTTGCAATCAAGCAAAATTTTTGTGGGTTCCACTTTACGCGGTGATAGAGAACGTTGCAGAAGTCACGTTTCGGCAATATTTGCCGTATAAAATTCAGTAACTGCTGAGTCAGTGCTGTGTGTACGCCTAATATATATAGCAACTTATCATTGCGAGCTTGCAGCTGAAAGGTATGTGGAATTTGAACACCATTTATGCAATTACTATATTTTAAATACACGCCGTGCGCTAATGACACAAAGGTGAATATGCAGTTCAAAATTCATATTCGTCATTTAAGTCGTCTTATCATATTTGGTTTTTAAAAGCTATTAGTTATATTACATACCAGTTTATATTTATTTATTAGTTTTTGCCTGCAGTTATGTATATGTGGATAAGAGGGGATTTTGTACAATAGTCGTTTGCTTGGGCATCTTTGTCCCATTCGTGTTTCTACCGTGAAATAGTTGTGTTTGCATGGCTGTGTTTCGGTTTGAAGAGTGGAATATAGCAGTGAATTTACAGGGTACAGAGGAATAACACCTGAGTTCTCAGGAGTGGCAACGCATGGGGGGTATCGTGAGTGAAACAGTATACTCTGTTATGCCCATGGTACTGCTCATGTCTATAGGCTACGGTTACCACTTTCCATCAGGTGGGCCATCAGCTTGTTTGTCGTTCTAAGTTGCATAAAAAAATTACAAAAAACGTGGATTTTGGTAGAAGGAAAACTAATGAAAAAGTAGTTACATTAGTTTTCATAGTACTATAGCTTATATAGTAGCGTTTATGGGAGATATTCGAAAAAAAATGTATGAGAAGTATATCAAAGTGCCCAACTTGCCTAAAGAGGAATTGAAGATTTCACTTCAAAAATTGTCTCTGTCTATCTATATGTTTGTTCCGGCATCACGCAAAAACTGCTTCACCAATTTGGATGAAGTTCGAACAGTTGTGTTTCTAAAGGTCTAATGTAAAATATAGTGTATGTTTTATCTTGATACGCCATCTAAAAGTGGCCAGTTGCATTAGTTTTCCTACTTCTGAAATCCACGCGTAAGAAAAAGCGAGCAAAAAGCTAACATATAAAAAAAAGAACAAATAATTGTCATAAATAAACTTATATACATACAATTAGGGCTTATTATTAAAAGAGGACTTTTTAAGACAGACTGAAGAGTTTCAACAGTTTTCACTGTCGAACAAGTTGAGTATGTAAATAAAGAAGAACAACATAATAATTTAAATATATTGATTTTTGTCTTTGGCTTAACTATACAGTAAGCTTTTTACGGTTTTGATTCGGATTTAAATAAAAAGAAAGCAAGATAAAAATGTTCAAGAGTATCGCAGAGCAAAGACCATTTCATGAGTGCTTGTAAGGCACTAAGGTAATAAACAAACAAAGAAATAAAAATATTGTATATTAGTGAGGATAAATAAAATAACAGTGACGTCATTAAGGTTAAATTTATTACTTCCATAATATCTTATTTGTGGCGGATTTTTTATTTAATTTTATGCACTTACATTAGAATTATTTACAGGGACTTGTTATTTTACATTGACAACACGTCTGTGTCGAGGATCTGTACGATTCAAGAAATATCAAAGTTTTGAAGGCTTTGAATGTGGTGTTAATGACGTAATTTAAATAAGTGCGGGGCTCGGACCTTCTGTCCTATAATTTCTTGTCAAATTTCAGGAATAAATTAAGTAAAGATTTATACATAACATCTTAAGACACATTGATTTCGTTCTGAGAGGCCGTTGACGAGATCCTTAATGAAAATTAATATTAAAATTTAGGGAAATAAAAAATCAATAGTGAAGATTAGTGTAAAAAGATCTAGAAAGATAAGTTTGTGTCCATGTGAAATTATATCTAATCTTGTGGCTTTTTATGATTAATTTTAAAAAGAAACAAAAGTCTATTGGTTAGATAATATACATCTACGATTAATACAATGGTGCTGGTATGTTTACAAGTTACTTTAAGATGTTTTAAAATTTAATTCACACTTTTGCTAAAAC